TGGCTGCTTCGGGTTTCTTCGCTGTAACCTTTCGTGGGGCCCTTTAGAGGTTCAAGCCGTTTTTTGGTTCCAAGGTTTTGATGAGTGGCTGAAACGCTGGAAGGGGCCATTTGGGTATATGAGTGATTGTACCTTGGCAAAGTGAGAGTTTCGCATCTGCATCTAGCCCTTGCTGCGATTCAAAGCTTCATCCACCCAAGCCTTTGATTTCTTTCGTGTGGAGGCAGTGGAATGGACACCCCTTTGATGGCATTGAATGCCCTCTTCGCAACTGGTGGCAAGATCAATGACCTGGAGTACTTGCACCTTGTCTCAACCAGTTGAACCTTGTGTCATGCGTCGACTTGCGCAAAGCTACCATCGGATGAAAGCATCCGCTGGCTCAATCACAGCTGATTTCCAGGAGCAACTCCGAGAGGGACAAGGGTGCGCGACGCTTCTTGATAAAAAACCACAAAAGCCCTCTCTAGCAACTTGGTTCAAAGGACTGTTTGAAGCAGTTCACTTGAAATCATTTGAGTTTGGGTTTGTCCTTACATGTTTAAGGTCACATGCGGACATCTTCGCTGTCAAAGCAGCGCACTATCGTGGGAAGGCCAATATATAATATACAGAGTGATCGGAAATTCATTCTGGTGTCCTCTATTTTTAAGATACATGCATCCTGATCATCCTGTGAGGCGATCATGTATGCATGCGGATTTCCTTGCACTCCGTATTCGATGCTGCACGCAAAGTCCACCCTGCTCCGGGACAAGGCTGCAAAGCCTCTTTTTCAGTGCATCCGCAACATCCGTGGAGCACAGCCACCGGCTGCTTGATCCACCAGGTATGCATGAACGTATCACCAACATGGAAAGCAAGTGTCAGGAAGGAAGGTACAAATATTTATTGCCCTAAAACACCTCAAACATCCTTGGGCTAAGGTAGCATTGCTGGAGAACGTGAAGGGATTTCGGAGAGTCATTGATCAAGTGCTGGAGATCATGGATAAGAACCTTCCAGGGCACTTGGGTGAAACTTTAAACTACGATTCAGCTCAAGATGAGGTTTTGCTTGTCCCACCTCATCTTCAACCCTAGGTACGATATTTGTGTGACCGAAATTAACCCGTGCCTTTGGCCCATGTTAGGAAAACACACGATTCAAGAGTTTCCCAAGGAAAAGATACCGTGTTGTTTCCTGGTATCCAAGGAGCGAGTTTGGTTCACCGATCAGCCGCCCAAGATTCTATATCCTATTGGTTCGCACTGAGCTGATGGAAGCGGATGCTAGAAAGGACTTCGCTGCCTTTGCAAAGGGTCTTCTTGAGAAGATGAAACATGAGACTTTGTGGGATTGGAAGCTCTTCTGGTTTCAGAAAAAGGGAAATGATATGAAATGTCAGCAGGGGAATGCTGTATGATGTTTTGCAACCACACCTAACTGGTCCTAGGAAAGACCTGCTGATGCCGTCGAACCACTGGGCGGTGCACCATGCCATCGGGGAAAGAACCAGTCGTGTCAACAAGGTGAAAAAGAACCAGTTGAAGTCAAAGTCCAAGTTTCTTGTCTTAAAGTCATGGGGTCAATGTGCATCGTGTTTTCTGAAAACACCCTGTCCATGCACATCATGGGTTGGAATGTGGCCGAGGCCAAAGAAAACCTTCAAATGGAAAGATCAACATGCAGAATGGGCCAAGAAGCACAAGGCACCTAAAACATGATATCAATATTCAGATGTAAACTCACTCTTCACTGGCCCCGTTCATGTGAGATCATTGCACAGGTGAAGGGGGGCAAGGGGCTACTTCAAGCAGAACTTTCCTGAGGCGGCCAAGCAAATTCTCTCGCCGCGTGAGGTGGATGCTTCTGGGCTGATGGTTTAAATGAACTGTCAAAGGTCCATGCTTCATCAAATTGAGAGAATGATCAACAAACAGTTGAGGTTTCTGTATTGAATTGTCTTTAAGGCTTTGGACAAGGTCTTGAAGTTCCACAATGGAGAGATTCAAGCTGCGAATACTTCGCAAACCATTGGCCGCATGAGTTTGGTATTGGATAAGCCCAAGGTTCCCTTGATGTGCCTCACGTACATTCCTAAGAAACATTTCAACGTCATGCCAATTGGATGTTGCTCTATCACGAATGGTTTTCTTGAGTGTTGTTCTTTAGGCCCAATGCGACCATCCTCCTCGTCAAGGAGCAGCAATTCCTCACAGGCCAGGCTGCTCACTCAGGCAGTCCGTGCCATGTCCTGAATGCGCAGGCGTGGAAGCGATGCTTCTTATGGGTCTGCCAGTTGATGAATTGACATGGACTCCCTTCTCCAACCGGGCAACCCGTCAGCAAACAAAATGAGTCGAACTGTTTCAACAGCAACACACAGAAAAAGTGTGTTTCAACATGCTTCAACCCTCATGCATGGCATGCAGAAACTGATACTCAGGAGCTTCTCAAGATGACTGGAAATGGCATGTCCATGCGGGCCCTCTATGCAGCAAAGATTGTCGGGCTGATGGCTTTGAACCCCTTCAAGGTTCGGAAGTATACGCGTAGCTTAAGATAGGGGATTGCATAGCTGGCGACTTCCGTCGAAAAAGATACCGTCGTGTCTGCACCTGTTGTTACTTTGAATGCTCAGCTCACTCGAAATTGCCTCATGACCCAACTGCCTCGGTCGCTCGCGGTCGCTCCAGATCTAAGGGTTGTTCACCAAACAAATCAGTGACCAGGTACCACGGAACAAATCAACCAAGGGACTGCTACACGCCATGTTGATTTACACTTATTGGTCTAATAATATTCATTTTACGAATGTGTCACAAGCCACCTTCCATCACACACAAATGCCCATCCTCGGCCGGTGGGATGAAAACGCTGACGATGGGCAAGCTCGTCCTGTACAGAAGCGGGCTGGGGTGTGGCGTTATGATGATGATGACGAACGGGAACCAAGTCCAAGTTCAAGTGCCAGTTCCAGTTCAGGGTATCTAGATTGCACAATGTGCTTGAGGGCATTGTTTTTGAAACCCCAACGCCAAGCAACCGGGTATCTTCAGCTTGCCATCTAAGGGATGAAAGCTCTGATTCAGATGAATCTGCTTCTGGAGTGGGGGAATCTTCAGAGGTTTGTCTAAAGCTTTCGAACTTGGAGTCGTACCATGCGGGCAGTGGTGATGCCTCGCACTATGCTGAGAATGGGGCAAATCCCAAAAGAATCAAAGCACTGCTGGATCATCCACCCTGTGATTGTGGTTGCCGGATGCCTTATCCACCGCTCCTCAAAGCATGTAGAACCTTTTGGGCTTTACCCAAGCATTCTCAAGATGCTGTGCTTTGGTCACTTCAATGTGGCAGCGGGCGCAAAAGCACATACACTATAGAAGGCAGGGTGGTTCAAAGTTCGGCTGGGGTTCTTGGATGTGCTTGCCTTCAAGCCGAGCAAGGAAGGAGTTACTGTAAACTAAGCCTTTCACCGTGCTCAGGACACCAACTATGTCGACAAGCATGGCTCACTTATCTGGGCATCGGCAAGGCACGTATGCAGCGCTGCAAGCGCACTTTCCGAGGGGTTGACCAGCGGACCATCAACCAGGGAGCTTTGTGTAAAACAACGTAACTTTTTTGGTTGTTCTTCATTACCTCTTCTGGGATCCCCAATTGAATTGAATCAGCATTTGTATCACACCCAGGAGCAACAGCTCATCCAGCGACACAAACAGCCTCTGCAATGAATTTCTTCATGCATTTATATTGGACAGCAGCTGAGAGTATGCCAAACCGGTTGCCTGACTCTTGTGAAAACCTTTTTTTGTTTCTTGGGTGAGTGGAAGGTACCAAAAGGGCGGGGTACTCGTTCCAATTGCGGTCTCTTCTGACACAAGGTTTGAATCGTGCGACACTGCTATGCGTTCCCGGTCTGATGAAGACCTTCGAGAAGAGCTTCTACGGAAGCTAGTGGATCGGCATTTGCTGGGCCCCACCCAAGAGATTCTAGTGGAAACTGATATACAGCGCCTACCAATACGGGAGCTCCCACCTGGGAATACATCATCCCTGTATTTGATGTACCTGGCATACATGCGCGCAGCTGGAGGGGAAGCAACGCCAGCAAGCAAATCAACGTTCTTTGAAGTGGCTAAAGCATGGAAACCCTGCTTGCGCTTCCGTCGCAAATCGGATCACGCTATGTGCTTTGAGTGCAGCAGACTAAAGCACCAAATCCAAAAATGCAAAGAACCTAAGCGGCTTTATATAGCTCTTATTGAATTTTTATATACAACAATATCTCATAAAGCCAACCTCCCATGATGGTACAAACTGGTTGATGCCTCCACGCCAAGGACTTCAAACGTCACGCAGAGTTGTGCAACGAGCTTCTCGGGCACTATCATGTGCAGTGGTTGAACAGAAGGGCTTACTGGACCGCCAGGTCACGTTCACAGTGCCAGAAAGACCTACTTTGCTGCATTATCGATTCCTATGACAAATCTAAGTTGCAGCTTCCGCAGTGGCCCCATTCCCGTGTTCCAAAGCGTGCTGTCTACGAAGCTACAAAAAGAGACTAGTCATTGTCAGACTTGGAGGTCAAGCATCCAAGAACTGGTCCCCTTTTCCCTTGGCCTTCCCAATTAAGGATTGAATTTGACCCTGACAGCCTGCGTTATGCATGGCCATGGATGTTACTTGTACTTGAGCGACGAGTCTTTTAGTGCTGGCTCCAATTGGCAGTGGGAGTGTGCACCTTATCTAGATTCGGACCTGGTGACCTGGGCTGTTAAAGTTTTGGTAATGCGTTCTTCTTCCAGGCTTTTGAGGGCACATCAAAACAACACCTGCATATGTCCTAGGTAATGAGATCTCTGGAGAAAGTGTTTGTTCGATGTCGATCTCAAAATCATCCATGGCCACGGGAGCTACTTACCTCTACTTTGTTAAATTTTGACTATTTGACGTTTCCATGTTGTTTAGTGAATAGACCATAGCTTGTTGCTTTATGGTGCCTTCTTCAACCCAAGGTTCTGGCTACAGTCAGATAATACAGTCAAAGAGATCAGGAACATGTATTCCCATAGGTTGCTCTCAGCGATGACGCAGGCAGGGGTGTGGTCCACCGCCAGTGTAAATCACTTGGTGGTGGGCCACGCCCACGAAGATGTAGATGGCATATTGTCGCTTTGCAAGAGTGCAATGGATACATGTCCCACCATTCATACTCCACAAGATGTTGCGAACAGATTGACTTCGAAGCTTCGTCCTGTGTTCCATGCTCGGGGAATGGACTTTCAAGTGGAGATCGTTGGGGCCGTGTCTTGTTTGTGAGTATTCATTGGATGTTTCTTTTTGAAGTCTATTTGTGTTCATTTATTGAATTCTGTTGACGCAGGGTGAAAACAAGTCCTTTATCCAAACACTCCAGGTCCGTGATGGGGTATCTATTGCTCCAGACCATGCTTCGTTCACCAACGCCTTCAAGGTTCGAAAAGTCAAAGATTCCAAGGAACCAGTGATTCCAGTACCAGGGAGTTTCATCTTTGCCAAGCGATCCAGTCACTTTTTGTTTGGCCTAAAATGTTTTGGCTGTTGACGATGGGCTGCTTTGGACAGTTATTTGATGTTCCAGGGGGGGGAAGTTTTTGACCTGAATTGCAATTTATTGATTCTTGCCTCAACCTTAGGCCTACCCAGCAACATTGACCTATCGGAACGTGCCCCACGAGCATGGAGATCTGACCCTCAAACCGATATTGGCCGCAAGGATATCTTCTGCTTGGTCAAGGCTGAGATGTCCGACATGAAGCTAAGTCAAGACCCTTTGTTGGTTTGGCCAGGGGTGTTGCAACGACAATCCGACCAACTACTTCAAGTGGCCAACAGTACTACCCTCCTTGACAAGCCCAGTTTGGATGATGAACGCAGAAATGATGTCAAACGACTCATTGAAGCCATGAAGCGGGATTACCCTGACATGCGTCGAGCTATCAACTGGTATCAATCAGTGCTGGATAGAGATGCCAACCATAGTGAAGCCTACACCACTTTGACCTTTTTGCGGAACGTGCCAGACGATGGGCCAAGCGTTCATGACTTTCGGTTGGGCGCTCCACCTCCAAGACCGCCGCCCCACAACTTGCAGGTTGTGTTTCATCGTCGTCCATTGTGAGCTCAGGGGTCGAGTCCAAAAATGGGTTCAGAATTTGTGGGAAGTGTGATGGTGTGCCGCTTTGAGTTGGTTTCATTCAGTCAGTCTTTGACCGTGCAATATGTTTACTTTTTGCATTGTTCAAAGTGAACGTTTGGGGTAGTGATCTTGCGCTAGATCCGGGGTAGCGATCTTGCGCTAGTGACTGTGGTTGGCCATGGAAAGTGTCAAAGAAGAGCCAACACTGGGGGCACCACCGGATGGGGATGATCCCATTCAGCAGCTGCAAGCTTATTTCGACCATGTTTCTCAATTCAAATTAGGACCAGGACTATTTGTTTTCTTGGCCTATGGTTTGTCAAGCCGTTTAATCGGGACCAAATTAATTGGTTTGGGCTAGACTGACTGCGAGGTTATTGCAACCCAAAATCTCGGAGATCATTTGATGCGTGAGTTTGCCGATCATGACCGGATGGAAAAGGTGGGGGATGGTGGGGGTGTGTCAAAAAGGAGTTCCAAGAAAATATCTCATACACAGGCGCCATTTTACATGACTCCCTGTGAGGCAATCCAGTTCTTTGTCTCCGACAGGTTTGGACCAGTTGCAGGGAAGCCGCACATCTCCGTCATTCCGAATGCCAGCGTTGATGACTTTTACTTATCCCTTGCCCACTTTGACTACAGCCCTGGTGCCAAGAACGGATGTCCGGGGCGTTAAAGAAGGATGTGTTGAATGCTAAGTGTTTTTGAAAGGGTCATAACTAACTGTTCAGTTGATTTGTGTGTTTTTTGGCCCTGCAGTCTATCCATCAAATTGTCAGTTCCAAGCTCATTTTGGAGAATTCTTGACCTACGGTTACAAGCCTACAGAGAGCGTGAGCGTGAAATTCCACAACGACAGAGGTGATCGTGTACTGGGGCGTTTTGAAACTGGCTTTGTTGATGGTCAAACAAAATGCCTGCTGATGCTGTCAATCGTTGCATTTTGCGCCGAGCTGAATTTTTCAGAGCTCGAACTCCAGAATGCCAACCTGCAGAAAGTCCTTTCTAGCTTTGGTTCCATTCGATGTTCCTATGAGCACTACTCAAGCCAATCGCAATATTTCTTGCAGTCATTGAGAAGCTCAACTACCATTTACAAATTTGGTGTCCTTTCTCCCCACAAGATTTCTATGTTTACTATTTATATATTAAACTATCGTTCTATGTGCTATCAACCAAGAACTGGGCTACGTGACAGCAGAGAAGCAGACTCCCTCGCCGATTACGCTAGCAGCCGATATCAATCAGGCCATCCAAGCTGAGCGAGTATCAGGACATGGTGGCCCCAAGACACCGTTGAAGGACATGCTCGCCCGTACAGTAGCAAAGTATAACGGACTTTGCACGAACAAAAAAACATCGAATCGAAAGCAATCGGCGCTCTCTCATTTACAACATGTCGCTGAGTTTTGCACAGTAATTAGGTTGCCTATGTTCTTAAAAGACGAATGACCCATTGTATCGTTTTGATGTACTTTTGGTAAATTGGAAAACTGTCCAAGTTGATTCTAAGTGTTCTAGTCGCATTGCCCAGGTTGAGAAGTCCTGCCGAGTTGTTCACCTTGCTCCATGATCACTACGACTGCCACAAACATGAGCACTCAGGCATGGCTGTGTACCAAAAGACTATTCGCTATTTCCATTACAGGGGTCCCTGACCAGGAGTCCCGCACGAAGTGTTGATGCAGGATTATTGGGTACCAGGAAGTTGCACGAGGCAAGAAGTTGAACGGTTCCGGGGCAAAAGCACTTTCAAGGCTATCCTGACAACAACTCCGCGGACTTGCATGTTGTACTTTGAACGTGTGACGAAGGACCCTTGTTGTTTCCAAGTGAACTTTTCACTTTGCTTTGTAAACCTCGTGCATTCCCCCAAATCAGTATAAGTTTTTTCTAGGCATTCGTTCACACCAAGGACTTTGTCAGAAAGGTGGCGAAGAATTCCGTGGTGAAGTCCAAGGACACTAGTCTTCTAGTTTACTGTTTGTGGATTGTTTCCCATCATGTTTCTAACCCGGAAGAAACCCTGAACAGAAATTGGCGCAATACAGTGATGAAGAACATCAGTCACTACATGACATCACTTGCTGCTGGTTGTGGCTACGATCTCACATGGAGACCACCTTTCCTGGGGAGGTGCTGGCAAAACACGATGAACTGTTCATGGAGGGGTACCTGGCCAGATTTGAAGATTATTCCGGGTCCTATTTTGATGGCTGGCCCTTATTCAAGTAGGATGGCCAAATGGATTTGGCCAGGCATCGTGGGTGGCCAAATGGATTTGGCCGGGCATCATGGGGTTTCTGGAAACCACGTGACACCTGGCCAAATCCATTCGGCCAGCAATCACTTTCCGCTTCCAAATTTCCGAGTGAAAAAGTGATGGGGTTTCTAGAAACCCCGTCGCAATTCCAATGGTTCGCGAAGATTCAATGATTTGTCCCGGGGTGACTTAATGTTGAGCAATGTGATTGATATTTTTTTGTAAAGGAGGATTGTGATTGGGTTTCTAGAAACCGCGTCACAACTTGAAGTGGAATTTCCCTGCTCGAAAGTTGATTGATTTTGAAGTTGAAATACATATTTTAGAAAAGTTTCCAAAATACGTGTTTTGAGACCTGGTTGGCCTAGGCACTTGGACAGTGATATTGGATCCTTGATGAAGAGCGGCGAAGAGTTTAGCTGGGAACGGGTGCCGTTCATTTTGGAAGTTCCTTGGAATTCTTACTTGCTGGGCATTGAGATCGTTTTAGTCTTCCATTGCAATCAAATATGATTCGCGAGGACCTACCTTTTGGAATTGATAATACCAACCATGGTTTTCAAGCTGCAAGTGTTCAATCTTGGCTCTCCTATAGTTCTTGGTAGGTTTGAGTGGTTTCTTTGGTTAAGTGAACCTGGGATGAAAGCTGCTTTCAGAACTGGGTTTGTTGCAAACATGTTTAGTAGTCTAATGATGTCAGATTGCTTGACTCATTTATTCTCCCATCCCAGGATGGAGAAGGAAGGTCAGAAGGCCCGAGCAAAGCTCATTTCCCAGTTGGAGGCAGCTTGAAGCAAAATTGATCTTAAAGTTGTTTCAACCTGCGGCTGCGGCGCACCTTTTTGCCTATCCAAAATATAATTGCACAATCTTTAGTTACTTGTCACAGGGGGTTCCAGTGTAGAAGGTGCCTTGGGATTACCGGAGGTCCCTGTGCGCCTTTCACAATTGTTGTATTAAAGGGTGAACGTGAGATCCCTGTTCTTGTGGGTTCTAAGGGTGTCCGCAAAATCACAAAAGATTGAGCACTATGTGTTTGATATTTTTAGAGGTTGAGAGGCAATAAAATCGAAACCCATACTGTATCCGATTTCCTCTCAAACTCTCTTGGTTGCGCCTTTGGGTGTTGCATGGCAGCTCAAAAGAGCTATTGCTATTGCGACCAGGACTGCCACACACGATCGTGGGACATTGTATCGGGCTTTATGAAGGAATACCTGACGTTGTTTGTTGGCAAATCAGCGGAGGCCGAGTCAACTGTCATGCCAGCAAGTCGAGCATGGTTGCGGGAGATGTGCAGTGAGCATGGGAACCATTTTGATGACCATGCTGTGTTTCTTTGGTGCAACTGTCCATCTATTGGGGTCATGAGTGCTACACGGGTCTCTTTCATCCTCAATTTTATCAGCAATGTGCTTGCGGACTTCCCCATGAACAGCGTGTGCGTGCTTGTCCATCCGAACAGGGCTTCTCAGCAAGAGGGAAGGCAGGGATGTGGTTCTTTCGAATAAGACCCGCCGTCACCGTTGATTGATGGTTTCTTATGGATGGTTAATCAGAAACAGCTTCGTGGCTTGCTAATAGTTCTTTGCACCTACCCTAAAGAGCTTCGTAGCGTAGAATCTTGAAATCCAAATTAAATCCAAAAATATCATTGATCTTCAATGATTGATCTTTTGAGGTTTGACCGTCAAAGTGTTTCCTGCACAGCCGGCCCATGTTACTGTCCTCCTTGTTGTCCAGGAAGCCTGGCGCAAAGAAGGAGGAAGACGAGGATGAACCCATGGAGAAAAACGTGACTGGTGATGCTAAGGAGGATGATGATTCGGAGGAGAGTGACGCAGATGGCTCCAAGAGAAAGCACCTGGAGGATGTAGAAGACATGGTGAGAAAAGTGAGGTACAACCTTGAGAAACCAGCAAAAACCAGCACAATGTTGCATCTTTTTCTCACTGGATCCCACCCCCTTAAACAACGGGCTGACGTCTCAATTTGGTGGACATCTAACTCGAGCCTAGGACAAACTTTTGGATGAGGGAGAGAAATCTGAGAGTGAAGAACTTGACCTTTGTGTTCGACCCAGCCATGGCCTGAGAGAGATGCAAGTATAGTACAACAACAACAACAACGTAACAACAACAACAACAACAACAACAAACAACCGTTGCAGTATTAAGTAAGTTTCATTCCAACCCCAACGCCCAGGCAAGTGTGTATGGGAAACGCGAGGGCGTCCTCACTGGGCTTTGCATCATGTCCAACCACACCAAGAACATGTTCAGAAACACCAAAGCCTACAAGACTGGTGTTGTGCATGGAATCTCAATGCTTCCTCGAGCAGATATGGTGAAGCCTGAGAATGTTCCTTTGGTCAAAGTTTATACATCTTTGGCCACTCCCTTGGCCTTTTGGTTCAATGTGTTCTTTGGGTGACCCAAGCCACAATCAAACCTCCTTTCCCCGACTTGATTGCCTCATGAGGCCAGCCCGCATCGAGGAGGAAGCACCTTGCCACATTTGGGAAGGGCTTTCACTGACATTCAAGAAATGAAGCAGGCTTCCTGGATTTGATTCTGAAAGTTCTTACTTCATCCACTGAAAAATCTACATTGGGCATCATTGGGCCATATTGGGACCATGAACCAAATGAGGAACTAAAACACTTTTTGCTCTTTTGCTCTTTCCACCAAATGAGGTTGCTGGTGGGACTGACTTCATCCAAAAGGTGGTGGATGGCTTCGGCGTGCCCACCATCAAAACAAAGATTATGGTGGATATGAACGCATATGATGGTTTTGCAGCATTGGCTTCCATTGAGGACATGGTCAACTATGTTCGGGCCCATGCGGGTTTGTAGTAGGTTTAGTTTAGTGATGTTTACCTTCGTAGAAGTGGGTTGTGGTTTCTAAAATATGATTCTGATGCAACAAGCATCGCTGGGTCACAGGTACACTGGGTGAATATTGAACTGACTTATTTTGGCCCAGCAATTTTGAACCAGGATATTTGCAACGGGAAAACGTCGGTATGTGGTTCATTGTGCTTGGATCACTCCGGATCGGACTTGCTTTCACGAGTTTCCAACCGTGTCTACGAGAACTGCCGGAGTGGAGCAATGAGCCTCCCTGGATTCCCAAACTTTGAACCGATTATCAGTGGTCTCAAATCCAACCAGCCAGTGGACAGGCAGAAAAGTTTCCGGGTCTCTGTGCAGCAAATGGATCGTTTGGTGATCCTTCAATCGCTAGCCCAAAAATGGGTTGACACTGAGAGCACCCGTGAGCGAGCCTTGGAAATCATCGCGGATCACAACAACCAGTTCAATGCTGATGGGAGCTACTGGATGGAAGAAAGGCCAGGTCTTCACTGGAGATGGCTTGGTTTAGTCATTGGATGTTTGCGGTATGGTTGCCTGTGAGCCCCCGAACACGAATCCACTTTGGTCCTTGTTCATGTCAATTCTAGTCGGGGCGCCAACGGACAGAGACACACCCACCAATCGACAGGAAAGACACCTCCGATGAGAGCAGCAAGGTCGAAGAGCCACCGCGCAAACGCGTGAAGCTGGAAACCTTTAGCGAGCAGGACATTTCCAAGCTTGGACATGTGAGTCTTGGCTAAACTAACATGTGCCTATCCGAATCACTATGAAACAAAAGTCGCGACGATGTCAACTCAATAGCAACCAGTTGCAGTTACAATGTTCTGGAACAATCTTATGTGCAGGTAGCTTTGCGCAAAAAGGATTGAACCGTGAGATTTGAGCCTCTTCCCATTGGAACTCAGGAAGAAGCTTGCTATCAACAACAGCTTCGACTTGATCTTGGCAGGAGAAGCGGGGGACCAATTGTTTGCATCTTCCCGCTCACGCAATCAATTCTTTGAAGGCCGTGAGTTGTATCTCAGCCGCACCTGCCAAGTCTTGCATGTTTACAATGTAGTCCGCTCTTGGATCAGGTTTGATATATTGACCTCGGCCCCCTTTCTGCCAAGGTTCAGCTATGGATCAGGGGAGTGGAGAGATGGTGCAGTGCCTGGCCTATATTCAATTGGGCTGGGAGGTTCATGAAAGGGGGTGGCAAGTACTGGGTCAAGAGTCAAGTGTTTCTCTGGGTTGTACTCCCCTAACATGCGTAACATGTCCAGTCCCGTTCCATCCATCCCAGGAGGCGCAAGAATGCCTATCTGATCCCGAGGGGCGATGGATGAGCTTCAGCATCAAGAACGAGGACCTTGTCATTCTTGAGAAGAAAAACCTGCCGGGTCACATCGCAAAGCTCGACAACCTTGAAACACCAGTTACCATTCAATCTCTGGTGTGCGATCTCCAAGATGCAGGGGAAGTGACTCTTCTAATCCAAATCTCTTTCTCAGGATCACCCTAACCCACTGGAGAAAAAACACTAACTACAAATTACCCCCAAATCCGATTCCGGGCCATCTAAGGTGAAGGTGGAATTGTCCCACCACAAGCTGCAAGATGCTGACTGGGTCGGCGCTAAGCCCCTGGTGTTAGTGCTAGATGCCCCACAGGAAGCGCTACCAGAGAAAAAGAAGAAAACCAAGGGGGGCAAAAATAAGGCTGGTGTTCAGATCAGCCCCAAGAATTTTGGATCCTGGATGAGTATCACGAAAGTGAAGTCCAGCCATGAGACATTGAAGCTTGCTTGGCGTTGCCGGTTGCTTGTCTGTCACCACTATATACAAGAGAGCATGGAATGATTCAGAAAAGGATGCAACACGTGAGGTCTCCAGGTATTTGATTAGCATTGAACCACGGCCTTCTACAATGCACCTTGGCCCAGGCTCGATTGCAGCAGTGGTGATGGAACCAAAGTCATCACTCCGATTCGCCCGGTGGCCGTGCTTGGCCACCCTTTGGACGTAAATGAGGAAACAGTTCGCATCATGTGACCATGATCTCCACCATGTTTGCAAGTGCTCCTTTCCAAGCTTCACCTCTGTAATTGCCAAGCTTCAGCTCTGTTTGGGGGAGATCAGGGGAGATCTGGCTTCGCAATTTTGCACAGAAACGGGGTACCAATCAAAGCTCAGGATCCTAGTGTATGTTTGGGGGCCGTTTTGACACAGCCATGTCCTCAACACCATACCCCTAAAACTGACAAAACATACAAAGAAGAAAACCCGCAGGATTCTGAGCTCATATCCTAGCTTCGCTGCTCAGACCAACCGGCTCGTGGACAAATAAAGATCGCATCCATATGTTTTTTCCAACAGCGGAGTCTTTGGAAGAATTCTGAAGTGTGTTTCATTGTATATATTGGGGCAAGTTCCAATTTCAGCTCCATCATGCTCCATCCAGTGGACTGTCTGAAGCATTTTGTGGATCACCTTTTGTCCCGTCGGGGTGCTTGTGGCAGCTGTCCTTTCCTGGGATGAGGGCATCAAAGCATGCAGATGGGGAAACCGACAACGACAGTGTCGAAGAGGTTCCATTGACTACCACCTTCCGGCCCCCTGTACCTCTTCTGAAATTATACCAGTTCAAAAGACTCTGCAATATGTGATCCTACTTACGTTTCTAAAGCCATAAATGTTTAGCTCCGTGCTGATGAGGCCTTCAACATGCAGAGGCTGCTCTCCCCATCGGCAAGTGGGGTGGCATCATCCTTTACCCCTCCACGAATTCCATCAGCTGTTGTGCCTGCATCTGCAGCGAAGACTGCAGTGAGACCTCCGGTCACAGGTGGCAACGAAGGCGCAGAATTGGTTCTTCCTTAGGGTTTCTAATGGTTAGTGTTCCAACCAATGACCTGAGAGTTCTTTTTTCAAAAGATGTTCCAAACATGACCCTTAAGAATATCTTTTTTCGTATCGTGGGAGGCTTCCAGTTGGCTCACCATGCTCTTCCTGCCCGAGTTAATGCTTCGGATTCATCATCAGCTGAGCAACCAAACACATTCAAAAAGCCAGCTCGCAAGCTAAGGGCTGAAATGGAGGAATCCTCTGAACATTGCCCTCTTGGGGGAAACTCCCATGACGATGATGAGGATGAGGGGCCTTCTGGTGGGATTGATGAATCCGACGAGGATGGGAATGGGATCCCCAAAGATTTGCAGGTTCGTAAGAGGCCAGCCACTCGTGGTGCCGCCGCTTCGAAGAAGAAACCATCAACCAAGCGAGGGCGCAAGCAGGAGGCCGATAGAGCAAATGAAAAACAGTAACAATATGCAATGACAACTTCAAACATGTTCTTTAAACAACTAAAAAACAATTGCCGCATTTGCCCAGAATGGTGGTTTTGATGCTGCATCAGCGGAGGCTAATCTGAATGATGCCGCGTAACTTGGTTATTCTTGAAAAAGATTGGATGTGCACGAAAATGGAAAACAATGAAATCAAATGAAACCAACCTCATTACCTTGACCTTTGCTTCCACCAACCAAGACCTGACACGATGCTTGACCCGCTCGGATATGATACACTTCTCGAGCAGTGCCCAAACAACCAGCTGGGCCTGAGCCCTCAATCCGAACCTTGAAAGATAACTCTGTCTGTGACTGTTGGGGTATCCGGGATGTTGCTAACAGCTTGCCTACCCGACACCGGCAGCTCAGGAAGGCCTCCTACTGACAGCTGGGCGTCTTGATGCCGTGGAAGTTCATGATGGCCATGCGGCTGCGGCTGCTCCTCGGATGCAAGATGTTGACAAATATATAATACGCAAGAACTGAGGACACTTGTTATGTATTATGTTTGTCGCCTTCTTTAGGGGGACAGACTTGAATTGTGATTTCTGGACAAGGACACTTTGATGGTTCCAGCCCCCACGATTGAGGCTGGGCACTGGTGGCGAATTGGGTAATTGTTGGAATACCACTCCACTTTTAATTCGAGCTTCTCTCTTCATCAATCTCCAGTGAAACTGCTATTATCATCGTCACATGCAGATACATAATATACACCGCGTTCATCACTTATTTTTGGTAGTCATCGCCTACTTTTCTCTGATATGTTTCAGTTTCATGACACCCCAACACCCAAGCATCCTCAACTGCTCCCTATGGAGGCTTTGCATGATGAGCCCGCGGACATGACGGATGAGCAGTGTATGAGGTTCCTGCAACAACATCAAGCTTCCACGGAGGAGGATCTGGGGCTTGCTTGTCGTCTCATGCATGAGAATGGGTGGGTTACTACTGAGATGGTCCAAGCTACCTGTGACGCTATTGGCAAAGCATTGAACCAAATCGATGGGTTTTTGCAAGCCAACAACCAGACTCACGACCAGGAGGATACCTACCGCTATGAAGAGGGTATGGATGGTGGAACCACCGCCGCTGGTGAGGATACCACTGCTGCTGAAGCCAACGGTGAGAACAAAGAAGAGATCACGGCTGAAGCCGAAAGTGAGAAGAAAGAAGAGATCGCGGCTGAAGGTGATGAGAAGAAAGAAGAGATCGCGGCTGAAGCCAATGAGAAGAAGGAAGAGATCGCGGCTGAAGCCAATGAGAAGAAGGAAGAGATCGCGGCTGAAGCCAATGAGAAGAAGGAAGAGATCCCGGCTGAAGGTAATGAGAAGAAAGAAGAGATCCCGGCTGAAGCCAATGAGAAGAAGGAAGGGAGCACAGCTGAAGCCAAAGGTGAAGTGTCAGATACAGAGATCATCCCTGACTCACCGGAGGAGGCGGGTGACCCTAACAAGAAGATTGAGGACTACATGAAATCAGAGATTGAGGCACTGGAGTTGCACGCTACCTCTGAGGAGATGCGCCTGAAGCTTATCTACCTGAAGATGGTCGTGAACAACGAGATCCCAATGCCAAAGGAGTTTACCCCTTCGTCAAAGGACTCAGCTGCTGAGTCTGCGGCAAAAGCCAAACCTAAGGGCAAAGCCAGGCCCAAGCATGCTGCCAAAGCAAAGGCCTCGCCCAAAGGCCAAGCTGCGCCCAAGCGTGCTTCCAAAGCAAAGGTGAAGAAGCCAACCAAGCCGAAGAGCAGATCCAAGCCCAAGAGCAACGAGGCTCCGGAACAGGAAGAGCTGTTGAAGAAGCTTCGAAGTGCAGCTCGTCCCATATACAAAATCCTGTTAGCTCATCCCCTTGAATGCCATTAAACACCTATCAAAACACGTTCATTCCCCTGGATCAACCCAACTCACACGTAGAAACTTCACCTGATCTCAGGTATACAGTGTTGCTTGGAAAGTCGCAAGGAGGGATGGCATGGTGGCTGAGAAGATCTCACAATCGGCATGGAATGCCCGCAAGCTGCAACTTGGCTCAAAGGTCCATGTGAACGTACAAATTGTGTTCTTGGATTCTTTTGAGTCATATTTGACAATGCATTGAGTAACATCTTGGATTTGCATGAATTCATCGTGCTGATAAATCGTGTGTATCCCCGTCTAAGGTGGATCTTGAACAATGGTCACGCGGACAATCCGATTGTGGCCAAGTTTTTGTGACATCTAGATTCTATGGGTTTTGAGTGATGCAGGGGTGCTAAATGCATCAAAGCGTCGCAGTTGGATGCGGCCGGGCCGGACACAGCTCTTGAGGAAAATGAGCAGCAGCTTGTGGAGTGAACATGAATGGAACCTTTATCTTGTGACTAATCATCCCACTACATCCTCTAGTGATCTAGGGATGGATAGACCCACTTCCAGATTGGAAAGGATCTGCTTACAGCTGGGCTTGCTTTTCTATTCCCATGACTTTTCAGACCTTGTACAGTAGCAGGGGGCACGGCGGCCGTTC